GGGTTGGACCCTTGGATCATAGAATCGTAGAGTTGGGAGAGGCCATACAGACCATCTCGTCCAACCCCCTGCCCAGTGCAGGACCAGCCTCAAGCATTTCTGACAAATATCCGTCCAGCCTCTTCTTGAAAGCTGTCAGTGAAGGGGAGCTCGCCACCTCCCTAGGCAGCTGATTCCACCTCTGAACCACTCTGACCGTGAAAAAGTTTTTCCTAATATCCAGCCGATACCTTTCTGCATGTAATTTAAAACCGTTGCTTCGGGTCCCATCCTCTGCTGCCAAATGAAACAGCTCCTTGCCCTCCTCCAAAGGACAGCCTTTCAAATATTTAAAGAGATCTCTTCCAGCTCTATGTTTCCATGTTTCATCTCGCAGGTTTCTGCAATACCTTTCATTTGCGAAACATATTCTTGTAGCAGAATTAGCGGGAGTGGTCAGGTTGCAGAACGTTCCGCTTCCTTCTTGTGGGAGCGTGGCTGCAAAGGCGCCAAAGCCGAGAGTGATGAATACATGGAATTCACTTCCACAGGAAGCATGGACGGTTTCAAGAGGGAATTAGATAAAGATATGGAGCAGAGATCCATCAGTGGTCATTAGCCACAAGGTATAGATAGGAACTCTCAGTCTGGGGCAAGTGATGCTCTGTATTCTTGGTGCTGGGGGGGGCAACAGTGGGAGGGCTTCTAGTGTCCTGGCCCCACTGCTGGACCTCCTGATGGCACCTGGTATTTTTGGCCACTATGTGACACAGAGTATTGGACTGGAGGGGCCATTGGCATGACCCAACATTGGCTTCTTTTATGTTCTTATTATGTTTCTTCCCTTATCCCCAAGGAGGGCCCCGAGCCCTCCCTGCCTGCCCAGCTAGACTTGCACTGTTATATTTGCAGAGCAGAATCTGTTACTGTAAGACTTGTTCTCCGGAGGGACCTCAGCCACGAGTCCTAATAATAGCTCATTTGCCATTAATAAATCAAAGGAGAGGCAAGGGAGTCGGCCCGCTTCCCTGGGAAATACAGCCTGGCAGAGAACCTGAGCGGGGAGATACCAGCGGCTTCTTCAAAGCCGACTTCCGGTGCTCTTGGGGACCTGGTACAAGCAGAGCACCGTAGGAGGGAGATCAAAAAGGAACAACCCGGCTTGGGAGCGTTGCGGGATAGGAGCAAAAAGGAATCCTCCCTCTTTTTTGCAAAGCGGATGTTTCGGAAGAAACAGAAGGTGGCAAAGGGAAAACATCTGGTTCTGCTCCATTAGAGGAACATCAAGTCCTCTTTGCTTCCATTACCGGGGCTTCCGGTAGCGATTGCCCCGTGCCGGCAACTGCGCTCTTCTGGGCAGGGGGAAGCTGTTAACCAGCTGCAGTGGCTGCTTTACTGGAGGCGAGAGCAGCTTGGTTCCTAACAGAAAAGCTAAAGAGCAATCAGCCGCTATCTGCCTTGATTCCGCTCCGTATTGCTCAGGCCCGGCTTGTTTAACAGGGAAGACAGCAGACTGTGAGCCCCCGGGCAGCTTCCTTTAACTACAGCAGACGGGGCACCCACAGGACGGGTTTGCCGCTCCTTCCGTCATGCCAGATGGACTCTCAGCCTCACAGTAACAGCTGCCGATCGAACGGAGGGACTGGCAGGGAGAGGATTCGGGGTCCATCTCCTAGCTCTTGCATGACCTTGCGCAGTTCTTGCAGCCTCTCTGCCTCAGCTCCGGGCCCGCAAGGAGAAACCACACTTCTCTTCCCTTCCTGTCTAGCCGAAATGAAACATCTGCCCTGCAGAGAAACATGTTGGGCCTCTTGGGGGTCCAGAAATGTTTCGCAAAATGTACAATAGACAACACAGGATGACAGTGCATTGGGAGGGGGGGGATGAGCAAATTGTCACGTATCAGGCAGGCAGGAGTTGGTGCAGGGGCAGGGTTGCTCTGGAAACTCTATGGTAAAGCTATAGTTTCTGGCAATTCGTGCAACAGACTGATGACTCTTCTGGGTTTTTCTTGGAAGTGATAACATGCTGTACAGTTGTGGTTAGGAGCACAAACTCTAAACTGGGAGAACCGGGTTTGATTCCCCACTCCTCCACATTCAGCTGCTGGTGTGACCTTGGGTCAGTCACAAGTTCTCTCACAGCTGTTCTCTCAAGGACAGTTATGGGAAGAGCTCCCTCAGCCCCACCTACCTCACAGCAGGGCTATTTTTGAGCAGGAACGCACAGGAACGGAGTTCCGGCTGGCTCCTGAGTTGGCCACGCCCAGCAGGAACTCATTAGCATAACAGGCCACACCTAACAGCAGACACTCATGAGGATTGGCTACATTAGGGGTGTGTGGCCTAACATGCAAAGGAGTTCCTGCTACAAAAAAAGCCCAGGGTTTTGACCACAAAGTAAACAGAATAAGAAGCAAAAGGTGGGTGTGGTTGGATGACCACACTTCTGGTAACGTGTGGGGTGTGGCCTAATATGCTAATGGGTTTCTGCTGTTGGGTGTGACCTATTATGCTAATGAGTTCCTGCTGGGCTTTTTCTACCAAAAAAGCCCTGCCTCACAGGGTGTCTGTTGTGGGGAGGGGAAGGGAAAGGAGTTTGTAAGCTGCTCTGAGACTCCTTCCAGCAGTGGTGGGGTATAAATCCAATCTCCTCCGCCGCCGCCGCCACTGCTTCTTCTTCTTCTCCTCTACCTCCTCCTCTAATGGTTGGGGGGTTTTTTTTACATCATTTTTCTCCTGCTAGCTATAGGAGTGGTGGCAGGAAATGGGAGACAAGGGCAGGGGGCCATCCGCCCTTGGCAGGAGCCTGGGGTCAAAGCTGGCCACTGGCTGCCTGCTCACACCAGCTCTCATTAGGTCCTGCTCCCTTGAAACCATGCAGAACAGGGATCTTTTCCAATTTCAATGTATGGCTCTGCCATTACTGGGTCCTACTGCCCGCTCTGTTCACTTCCCGTTGCTACACCCACACCCTCTGAACCCACTAAGAGACTGTTCCTGGGATATCCCCCCACACACACCATGAAATTGTCCTGCTGTGCTGTCTCGGCTGGCTGCCACAGAGACCACACACTGGAAGCTTGTAAACACAGTCCAGAATCAAGGTCAGTCAGAGCCGAAAGTCAAAGAGCCAGGAGGTCAAGTCAAGGTTGCAAGGACAAGGAGCGGCTGCTGCACACACGCAGGAGCAGGTCTCAGTGAGCAAAGTTGCTGCCCTGTTGAAACAGGTGTGCTGAGTGATTTGGACGGGTCCTTCCTTCCCTGGGGTTGAGTCTGCAAAGGCTTACAGCTCTTCCCTCTGCCTCTGCAGGAGCTGGAGTCTGGCACGCCTTCTTCGCTCCTGCATAGTCAGCCTCTGGCATACCCTGCGTCTGGGGCACTCAGGAGAACTAGGCGGGGGGTCTGGCCTTTGGGGGGGGGGTCTGCAACTGGGGGTGCTGGGCCAGGCTCAGGAACGGCCTCTCCTTCTGGCTGCACCTCCTGTGCAGCTGCTGGGGACACTTCCTCCTCAGGTATAGTTGAGGGTTCTTCTTCTGGGCTGACTCCAGTGGAGGCTGGGCTGCTCCCTGCCTCTTCCTCATCTGAGGAGTAGTCAGCCTCAGCAGACCTCGTACCCACGACACCTGCAGAAAGACAGCCACACGGGCCTCTTCAACAGTGCCGCTTCATG